ACCAGACAGCTCACAGCCACCATGCCGGATCAGCAGTGCCTCAAGAGGGCTTCGATGACATCTTTAGGGTGTCACGGCTAATTAGAGCCCTGACTATACCCTCTAATTAGGTAACACTTTCAGACAAATCACCCTGTCCTCTTCAAACCATGTCACGCCTTCAGAAACGATCCTTAATTGACTTAAAAGTAAACTCGGCACTTCTTCCCGGACCTCCTTCCACTTCACAAGGCATTTCAAAATAAATAAACCCCTGCTCCTCAGTCCTGTCTCAGAAACCAGCTGGGGAAGTGCCCTCACATCCGCACAGGCACGCACCTGCACAGCCTGACAGAAAACCTCCATCAGAGGCATAAAGCAAACGCACTGACGCAGCAGCAGCATCGTCCTCCTCTGATCTCTCGTTTCTAGCCAACCTAGTGCTACTTTCAACAACAGTCAGCAAAGCCTTTTCTCAGAGAACAGGAGTGTTTGCGATGCGTCAGTGTCCTACTAAAAATATTGCCCGGGGGCTTGTGAGAGCAGCAGTGCTCCAGCAAAGAAGCCTGGTATGTGGCAACAGAAGGCATTAAAAAAAAAAAACCCTAACCATTTAGAAATTAATATGCCAGAATGTTATCAAGCGTCAACATTTGAATCCAGAAGGTAGAGTTCTGTTTTCATTAGGTAATGAATAAACTGAAACGATCCAAATGTTTTCAGTTTCCCACTAGCACAAAATTTTAAGACAGCCAAAAAAAAAAAAAACCCAAACCAAAACAAGCAACAACAACCCACCATCATAACTGCAAACATGATGAACAAAAACTATCAAAATTCGTAGAACATATATATTGAGCCTTTGCAAGCCTGCTATGAGAACAATGTCTCTTTATTTGCTTTCCGTGAGGTTTGTTATAACAAGAGAGAAAGACTCCAGTATACAGTGTTTTAATATACATACACGCATTCACAGCTGGAATAATAGATCTTACGGACAGCGGACAATATTACAGCTGAACATATGCAGAAATGCATAAACATATCTTCAAAAACATGTTCTTTGCACCCTACCCAGATATATCATGGACACACGTATAATACACACACACACAGACACACACACACACACACACACAATGTTTCAGAACGATGAGAACCATTCATTATATCAGACTCTCTAAAGTTTCTGCTGCTTTGGGAAAACATGACCCTGAGGAGACATCACACATGAACTTAACAACCAGCAGAAAATGAAACTGTAACACGCTGCATCTTGAAAGCCAGCCCTGAACCTAACTTAATCCCTGCTCTGGACAATGCCTCTGGAGAGACATTAAAACCATGCTAGGTGTTTTCCTGGATTTCCCAGATTCCCCGGAGATTCCTTGGCACTCTGGCTGCAACCATCTCCTCGCTTCGGAAATGTTTCCGGCTGAGTGCTCCCATCCTTACTTCTGCTGCTCCCACGGCCAGTAACAGACAGATCCAGTGGAGCACCATCCGGAGACCTGTCTCCTGCCCTGGCAGCAGGACTAGTTACCTGGGGCAGCTCTTGCTGTTTAACACTCGGACTCCTACAAAACGTGCAGGGGAATGATGTACGGGGCTTTAAGGGTCAAGAGCAGCTTTGCATCCTCCTTTCCCATCCCCAACAAAGGAATTCCAGCAGATCTCGTGCCCCCTAGTGTCATCCCGGCGAACGGACCGACACTGGGCACCACCAAGCACCGGCTACCACCTGGCCCAGGCAGTGCCCTCGCCTATCCCACAGTGAAGCTGGCACCGTGTCCTACTGGTACCCAGACCATAGTTAAATTCCCTTCCTAACAGTTCACGGGAAGGGCAGCGTGAGTTTGCTGTCCTCCCCAGCACTCCTGGGCAGCAATAGCCCCCTGAGTGTCCCCATGCCCAGCACAGTGCCACCTCTGTTCTGCTCTGGAGGAGCCTTGTCGAGGTCTGCCCCACCAGCAGATAGCCCAAACGGTGTCCCTGGCGAGGGGCCAAGAGGAGGAGGCAAAGAGCATCTGCAATGGACACTGTCCAGAATACAACTCCTCCTAAAAATAGATGGACCTTGGAAGGACACGGCCCTTCCAGAGAATGGGAATGCTCCCATGGTTGGAGGTCAGGCTTTGGGATGATAAAACTTCAAAGCACATGAATGCAAGACACCACTGCCTTTGTTTCCCTGTTTTCTCCCTCTGAGAGCACCTGTGGCATCCAAGCTCTGGTCATGAGCATGAAAAGCAATGCACAAAGCCAGCCTAGAACCCAGCCAGCCTGCTCTGACCAAATGACAAGATCCGGTATCTCCCAGGGAAATGCCCATGCTGACTGCAACACTAATGAGTGCAACAGGGACCAGATCCTGCATGCCAAGCACCTAAACATGAGGTATGTGCTGAAAAGAAGCACAGAAAACACGCGTGCCTCAGTTTCCCCATCCATCCAGAAGCCCTGACGCAGCTTGCCCTCTCTTACTTTGTTCATCCCTCCTGTTCAACTATTAGTTCTTGTAGGAAGAGGCACCCCAGGGACAGCGCCTAGACCACCAGCCCCTTTCAGAATCTGCTCGCAGCACTCAAGCAAACCTCAGCAACCCATCACCAAAATTTGGAGGAATTCTCCCCAGGGCACTGACCTGGGTATGCTGCTTTCTTCTGCAACACCGAGCAGGGACTATAGGTTAGAATAATGGGGAAGTAACTCAGTTCAGTGCTGACAAAGCATCACAAGCCCCAGCGGGGTGGGAGGGGAGGAGGTGTCCTTCCCTCACGCTGCCATGCCTGGTATACATCATGTTTAGGGCCAGGCATACGTCACTGACACAAAATGGACAAATTGGAGGGATTTCAGAAAAACGAGTGACAAAAATGATCAGGAGGCAGAGGGGATTGATTTACAAGGGGAGATTGAAAGAGCTGCGATCAGTCTTGCTGGGCTGAGCAAGTACTGACTGCAAGAAGCAGCTGGATGCTAATCTGCAAATGGGATGAAAACAATATGGGAAGGAATAATTTAGTATCTTCATCAGTATTGGGATGAAATGAGGGGGAACTCAGGGCTGAGCAGGCAGGCAAAAAAAACCAAAAATCCCAAACCAATGCAAAAACTCCTTTCCTAGTTATGCACGACTGTCTCCACCAAAACACACAAAGTCCCCAAAACTCTTTCTGCCCAGGACAAGGACCCTTGGGATCAACCAAGCCTAAGAAAGTGTGTGCACGTACACACACACACACACGCACGCACGCGCACATACACACATACACACACAGCCCCTTCCCACCCCTGACTCACACTCAGGAAAGCAGCAGGGCCGCCACGATAACCGGAGAGGATGGAGGCTTCACGCTTGCAGGAAAGCAGTGGAGAGCGAAGGCTAAAGCTGCCGGAGCGGTGGGAAGGTCCCCGCAGAAGGATGCTTTTGCACTCCCTGGTCTTCACAGGGGGAAAGGTGCTGAGATGGCTTCCTGCAAAGTGGCAGGAGTGAGCTCAGCTGCGAGCACTCAGATATTTACACACAAACAGCACATTACTCAGCAACTCCCATTTGTCAGGCGTAATGGCAGCGGCAGCAATAATAAATGACAGAGCTGAGAGACAGGCTCCCCAGGCGCACACCCAGCCCCAGCCTGAGCTGGAGCAGGATGCATTCCTCCAGCCTGCAGGGAATTAACTGAAAGTGGCTAGGAGCTGGGGCTTGCACCCACAAAACTCCTGCTGCTGGCTTCAGAGAGTCAGCCACATCTCCGAAAGCTAAGCCTTGGCTGCACCGTTATTTGTATGTGTATGTGCATCACAAGCTTTGTGGCTCTGAGAGGTACCAGGGCTTCTTCTTTCCAAGTCCAGGAAGTGCTGAGCACCTTCCATGGAGATGGGGAGGGGGATGCAGTGTCCTGGCAGGATTGGGTCCTCTCAGGGTAAATCAAACAAAAGATAATGCACGATCATTAGATCATGGCTTGGCCTGCTCTGAAAACAAGCTCTGATAAACTTATCCTAAAGGGCTGTTGCAAAAAAGTCTGCCAGGCACGAGGCTCTCATTTCCAAAGCTCAGCCTGCCTTGGGAAAGTATACCCTCTACAGTGAGCCCCAGAGAGCTCTGGTCCCAGGACCTTGTCCCAGTGAGGTGCTTGGTCAGACACAAGCATCACTTGCACATCTCCAGATCTCACGGCAAAGCTCTAACTCCTCATGGAGGAGCAGAGCATGGAGCTAGGAGCAAGAAAGGCTGCTCCCATATATTTGCACATTTTGCAGGAAGCAGCCAGAGTCCGTGCCTCGCTGCCTGCACACACAGCCGGTGGGACCAGCAGCAACACATGTGGATCCTGTCCCTCACAGAAGTACACAACATGGTGCACGGAGAGCAGGCACAATCAGAGTTAAATTAGCTAAATCCGAGCAGAAATCAGCAAGTTCCTGAGCAAAAAGCCATCTGAGGAAAGGACCTCCGTGACTATCCCACAAATTAAAACACAAAGAGATGAGAAAAAGAAATCAAATAGTTTTGCAGGCAATCACCTTTCTGCAACCTGCACTCTGTACAGACCCTACACATATGTCCGTTAAGCATGGGGTGGGGAAGGATAAGAAAGTGAAGAAGTGCCGATCATTATACCAAAAAAGTTTAGCAGTTAAAGAAACAATTGCCAGAGGAGCCAGGGAAGCTAGAACATGCAGACCTGGTTCCGTCCCCTGCGAAGGCAGCACAAATTGGCTCACGAGCTGATTGGAGTCACAACTCGTTTTTAAGATTGCAGTGGGGGAAGTCACCAAGATGTGGAAATGTCAGGGAGTTTTGTGCAGCAAAGGGATCGGTGTGTATTATGCAATTCTGGAAAGCAGCCCTCGCACTCATGCTCGGGATGAATTGCATGCCTAGCCCGGGGAGAGCAGTTCCCCAGAAGAGCCATGCAGACGCTTTTTGTATAAAATCACACCACCCCTTCAGGAAAAAAAAAAAAAAAAATTTTAAAAAATCAGCACGGCCACAGCAGAGAAAAAGGCAGGTTGCGCCTTTGGAGAGACGGAGAAGCCTGCTCTCCCGCCCAGGAAATCCACGGGCTCCGGTTTACAAAGAGCCGCCCCGCAGTCCCGGCTCCAGCCCCGTGCGCTGCCGCAGGGAGGGCTCATCCCTCTCAACCCTCAGCCTGGTGCCGGCCGCGATGCCGACCCCGCCGGGCAGGGGACGGGGGGTCCCGCCGCGCCGCCCCACCGCGGACCCGCTGCCCCGCAGGGTGCGAGGACGCGCCGGTCCCCTGCCCCCCATCCCTCCCCGCCGGGAACACACGCACGGCGGAGCAGGAAAGTAAGTTGCCTAAATTGTTTCCTCGCGGGGGGCGGACGCGCGGCCCACGGCGGGGCGCGGAGACGCGCGGGCGCGCTGGGGAAAGGTGCGCGGCTGCAGGGCGGGAGCGAACACCAGACCGGGGCGAATGCGGGGGAAGAAAGCGTTCTCCTCCGCCCTTCTTTCCGCCTGCCTCGGCGGCGGGCACCGGGGCTCGCCTCCGCTGACCCCCGCGCCCGCCGGCCGCCTCCCTCGTCCCGTGGGTGGGGGTTCACCCCGTGCCGCCCACCGGCCCCTGCCGCCCGGTACTCACGGCGCCCTCCTTGCCGCCGCTCTCGGCACTACCCCATGCAACCACCGGCTGCTTCTGCACCGGCTCGGGGGCTATAAGCTCTTTTAAACTCCAGCACATAACCCATGTGACCGCAGAAGCCACTGGTAAGGAGCGCCGGGGAGCCAGCGATGAGCTCAGCCCGCACCCCCCGGCACAGCGCCGGGGACGCGCTCCCGGCCCCGCCGCGCCGCGCGCGCCCGCACACACACACAGACACACACACACAGACACACAGACACACACACAGACCCCATGCTCACAAATATACACACACATCCGCACACATCCACCAGCACGCACACTTCCCCACCACCACCACACACCGGCTCACGCCCCGGCGGACACACCGCCTTTTCTCCCCCACGGATGCTGAGCCGGAGGGAGGCACCGCACACACGCGCACCCCACCAGCACCCGTGCAAACGCACACTCGTGAAAGCGCTGTGGGGATGGAGCCCCCACGCACACACAGCAATCCCCACAAGTCCCCCCACCTCCTCGGAGATGCTGCCCCGAATGGAGGCAGCAGCCTTGCAGCCCCCCCAGGTGCACACGCACACTCACGTGTGCGCAGTGGAAGCGCCACAGGCAGATGCAGACTGACATCACTCACCCCTCTCACAAACACTGCACAACCAAGCACACAACACACACATGGGCTATGCTTTTGCACCCCTCTCACACAACTGATGCACAAGCAAGGCAGCTCACCCACACCTGCACCCACCTTTCCCACTTCAACACAACCTACTGGTGTGTGCTTAACAAGCCTACCCTGCCCATCTATCACACCCTCACTGCTGTAGGGTCCCCTGTAGCATGTAGGAGCATCCTACATCATAGGAAAAGTCGGAGAGCTGTCACATGTGTCCCCTTGTGCTGTGCTCAGTTACTCCTGACAAGGGAGAAGCCCCAGGGATGGCCATGAAACTGGGCCAGGTTGCCCGCTCCAGCCACAGCACAACAGAATTGGGAATGCCAGGCTGAAATGTGCCGAGGGGGTACAGGAGCCGAGTGTGAGGCTTTGGTGTGCAAAAGGCTGGGACAGGCGGGCCTGGCTGGGTAGGTGCAGGCGTGTGCTGCTGGGGTACACCAGCAACACGTGTGAGAAGGCAGAGCTGGCAGGCAGAGGGCTTCGCTGAGAGCTGAGTTATGGAAAATGACTCTTTCCAAGGAATTGCTAAAATTAAAACGGCAGTGAGGCCAAGCAAGCAGGAGTCAAAGGGGAGGGTGAGCAAGGGCAGCCAAGCACCCTCAGGGCAAGGAAGGGCAGGGTGGGCAGGAGGCCACAGAGAAGGCACCCTTGCAGGGCATCCACCCCCCTCCCACTTTTACCAACTGCCCAGGCAATTGCAAATACTTTGAGGGTGAGATTTGGGGAAAGGTTGATTGGCACCTTGGTGGCACTGATTGGGGGATGCCATGGAGCAAGAGACTGGGGGGAATAGGCTTTCCCAGCCACATCCCCTGCTTGACTGCTAGCGTGCAGATAAATACCTCTGTTTTCTCATCCTGGAAGAGACAAATACCCATGGAGAAGCAGCCTGCTCACTGCCAGGGGCTAGATGCCAGAAAGGGGCAGGGACTGGTGCCCACAGGGGATTTTTGGGAGCCCTTCAGAGCCCTGTAACTCATTATGGGAATCCTCTGCTCTTATGCCCACCCTAGTGACTGCGGCAGGGCTGGGGTGCCGCTCCCTGGACATCAGGATTCACCTCGGCAGTAAGGGCTGTTCCAGCTCCCAGATATCTGAGCGTTCCCAGCACAAATCCCCGTGAGTCAGGAAACAACACATGCGAGAAAACTGCAGAGAGGACTTGGTAGAAATACTCCCATTGGCAGGTTCCCACTTTCCCTGGCATCCCAGGACTTCTGGTCTGAAGAAAACAACAGTAGTAACAAAACAACAGAACTTTTTTCCTGATCTTCCTGTTAAAGAAAAAAAACAGAAAGATAGTGTTTTGGGCAAGCCTACAAAAGTCAATCTGTTTTGTTCCAACTAGATATATCTTGATCAAATCAAAGCTACCACCTCTCCCTGCAGTCCTGGCCTTACACAGGCAATGTCACACAGGCAGAGGAAGGGGGCTGGGTGGGAGACAGGTTTTATCTAGTTTTTCATTGATGCTGCTAAAAGCCATTATTAATTGGATGGAAATAATGATGTTTTGTCTCAGATGAAAGTCCACAATAAATTATATGTTTATTGTTACTGGTTTTATCTATGAAGAATAACCAGCATGTTGGGGCTCTGGGGGAATTTGAGATAGATAATAGCAGGTTCTGAAAAAAAAAGGAGGGAAGGAGGAAAACTAAAAGCCAAAAGAAGATGTCTCCAAGGCTGTTCAGCAGGTTGCAGCAGAGCTGGTGAATGACCCTGCTACCTGGAAAGTCAGGACTAGATTGAAGTAGTCATGAAATGGAAGAGGGAAAAAAATCCCAACCCCTTGTTCTCCCTCTTCATCCCTCTGGCCCTGCTGTCAGCCAGGATCAGTGCTGAAAAAAAAAGAAATAAAAGCTGTGCAAGAAGCAGCAGCTCTCAGATGCCATTGGGAAATATGTCAGGAGAGCAGATGGTTTTGTGGGGACAGGAATGGAAAGATACAGAAGCATTAATAGGTCCAGGAAGAGAGCTGGACCCGGGGAAATGATTCTCCACTAGGTTATGAGCCAGTGTCAGTCCATCATGCTGGGCTGCTTTCTCCATCCACTGTACCCACTGGGAGCCACTCGGAGAAAGCAAGGGGCTCATCACAAGCCTGTACACTGATGTGCAACCAGGGCACTTATCACCAAAAATGTCACTCTACCCCATCATGTGCTGCCCACCTGCCTCCAGGAGCGTTGGTACCCCAAGCTAGAGAGCAGATGCTTCGCAGCTGCATGGCAAAAATACGATACAGCTGAGCCATGGTCAGATCCTGAACTTTTGAGGCCAATCCTGGCCAGTTGTAAAGCAATACAGATCTCTTGGACACCAGAGGCCAAACCTCAGGGGACAGCACTGGCCTGGTTTACCCCAGAGCTGCACATATATGAGGTGAGAGTCTGAGCCAATGCCTTTCCAAAGCATTTATTTGATACTTTGTGGCAAACATCTGACTAAATTACTCACAGATTATTCAAACATCGGGAGAGCTGATTAAATGATTACTGGTGAATCATTTGTTCAAAGCAAAATGCCCAAATTCCTACACTGAGCTACTGGCAGGCAACAGGCAGATGAGTTTCAGTCCTCAAAATCCCTGAGCTCACATCAGCCCCTAAGTCTGCACTCCTCGCTCACGGCTTCCCCAAAATATCCGCCCCCTGCCCGACCCCTTGCCACTGGCAGGAGCAAGGTGAATAGGAGACGTGGGGAACCATTCCTTGAATTCCTGCTGGACTTCAGGAGAACAACAACACAGCAGGCTGAGCTAGAAGCCTTGTCTCTCGCCTTTGCACAAAAGAGATTCTCCGGAGGGGGAAAAACCCCACAACAATGGTGAGGAAACGTACAAGAAAACTGCAAAGAAAGCAGCTGACCTTGCATGCCGCAGGCCAGAAAAAAGTACAAATGTTCTTGCAAAGAAGCAGGAAAAGATGGAAGCTATGGAGCCGACGAGCTTTTTACCAGCCCAATTTAATCATCTTCTCAGCAAATGCTCCCCACGAGGAACAAGAGGGGAAAGCAAGATCATGAAAAGATTGCAGGCAAAGGAATTCTGCTGGTACTCCTGGACTGATTAAAATTCCTCAGGACTCATGGCAGGAGAGAATATTTTATGTAAAACCTCACCTTGTCTTTATTAGATTTGCCAAACTTCTTCCCGCGTAGATAGTGGGAGGTGTGTGCAAAAGACAAAGGTGGAGATAATAAGTTCAGGACCTGGCTGTGGCTTTCCAGCCCGTTACCCATTTCTCTGGGAAGGGTGATGGTGGTGAGCACACAACAAGGTGTAAGGAAGGAGAGGCTGTGGGAACTCCCCAGAGCCCGGACAGAGTGTGATGTGCACATGTGTGCACAAAGGTTTATGCAGAAGAAAACCCTGTCCTTGCATGTAGACCTGATTACAGGCATCAAGTGGCTTGGAGATGAGTGATTAGCATGATTTAGGATGCAGAGGGGTGCAGAGGGAACGAGGTCTCATCTGAAATAAGTGAGTAAAGTTTCCATGTTCATCAAGGATGTCAGGTTCAGTGCACACTGTTACCAAACCACTCTGGGAAAACAGAGATTGGCGTGTGGCGAGACCCCTCACTGCTACTGCTGGGTAAGATATCGATGACAAAGTACTGCCTGACACCTGTTATAAATAACGTTTGTCCCATCACCCACTCAGCACATGGCCCACTGCTGCCAGCTCCTCGCTCGGAAGAGGCTCAGCATGGAATGAAAGCCATATTTAAAATACATTTTCGCATATGTCTTTCTGAGCAAGGAACAACAGGAGAGGGGTCTGGAAAAGGTTTCCCCCAGCACTTTTTTCCCTGTGGTGCCAGAAGAACTAGCCCATGAAATCTCAGGCAAGAACCAAGACTTTAAAGCAATCATGTTTTGCATCACTGTTCCATGAATATCCTGAATTACAGGATTAGTGTTGCAATGCTCCTGGAACGGGGAAATCATCCCCATAATCCTGGGTATTTGCCAGGTGGGGTGTTTTTTCCTCTTGGATCAGGACATCTTACGGGGGCTCTACAGTGC